AATCAAGGAGAAGGAGTTAGACAGAGTCAATTCGTTCAAGTATCTGGGCGTAATTATCAATGAGAATCTGACTTGGACTGATCACGTGGATTACATTAAGACCAAAGTGTCTCAGAGGCTTGGCGTTTTACAGAGAATAAAACATCTTATGCCAAGAAATACAAGGGAACTCTTTGTAAAAGCCATGGTGCTGCCAATCCTTGATTATGCTGATGTGACTTGGGGGGATAAATCCAACACCACTCTGATGAACAAGATCCAATTACTCCAGAATAAAGCAGCTAAATTAATTTTAGATATGCCAAAGCATTCATCAGCAACAGAAGCTCTTGATCTACTTGGTTGGGATACATTGGAAAAAAGACGAAGATCTCATCGTCTATTTTTGGTTTTTAAGTCCTTGAATGGACTAATTGATTGGAATTTTAATTTTAATCATTTTAAAGACATGCATGATTATAACACTCGTTTTAATAACAACATTTGTAAACCACAATCAAAGCGTACATGGGGTCAGCATCGGTTTGTTTGTCATGCAGTAGATGACTGGAACGCTCTCCCAGACGGCATTAGGAACATTTCCGATTTTTCAGTTTTTAGACGTCTTGTTAAAAATATGTAGTCTCTTCTATTGATTATGCCCTTTTATCCTTTTCTTGATAACCATATTTATATTTTCTGTTATCCTTACGTTAGATTTATGCAGGGCCTCACTGAAAACCACAATTTGTGACGTGGGCTCCCTGTCAAAAGATCTTACTTATTATTATTATGAACTGAAAAAATTACATCTTTGGATCCACTGGGAATAATTTGCTGATTCAAATGTCAAAGTTCTCTTTCTTAAAAGAAAACGTTTTTCCTGTAAGTTTTCATGATCGGGCGATGACACTTTTTCAAGACATTTCTGAACGATAAAGCTTTGGTTTTTTTCACGCACAATCCTGAAATTATTATGAGATGTTTATCGTCTTCTGTAGTACTCCGAAACAAACAACAGCTAGCATCGGGAAACAGTGTGATCACGAGCTAATTCCGAGTAACACTGGAAGCGATTCGAAGAAATCGTCACCAAGCGTTGAACGACCGAAGGTGTTCTGAAAAAAACGAAAACTAAGAGCGAGGAATATCGGGTAAAACCTGGCAGACTTCGTCGTGGGCTAAGAGGTCGTTCGTATTCTATTGTTACGCTCACTCAACATTATGGCTTCGCCGCCAAAGAAGGCAATAGCCATAAAGTTGTTCAAAATGTCACTAGTACGAATTTACAACGTAAAAAATTGAAATTTTATAATTTGAGAAAGTTAAACTAATCAGTGTGATTTGTTCCAGGTCTTCCTTCTCTCGTTGTATCACTTTCCTTGATTGTTACTCAAGGTCAAGGTTATGCTGATATGCAGTCCTGTTGGTTGTCCACGCGAAATCACGTGATATGGGCTTTTGTATCCCCTGGGCTTCTTATTGTCAGCGTAAGTTTCGATTATGTCTTGTGTTAAAGAAACTCACAACGGAATCGATAGTTTAACGAGAACTATTCATATGGATTAGTACCTCTACACGTTTTTCTTTCTTTCCTAGAAAATGGTATCGAACAAATTTGCAAATATTTCTCACCAAGTTTTTCCCTAGGTAGTTTACTATCATAGCGACAATGTTGCCTTTACTTAAATGCGTTTCTAAGAGTTTGTAGTATGCCTGTAGTAACCTATTGCATCGGGAGTTAACTTAACCCTCTACACTCTAGCATAAATATACATATTCTCCATACTATTCTCGATACATTTTCTAAGGTTATGACAAGGAGAATTTGTCTAACAATCAATAGCCTCTTGAGTTTGTGATCATTTCCTCTATTCTCGTGACCTTAATGTGTGATTCAGGGGTGATATTGTAAGGAGAATTTGGATGCTGGGCACAACTAGAGTTCAAAGGGTTAATAATGGCAAGAAACTTGTGGGAAACTCTGTGAATCAAACCGGCAAATTAAAAATTAAGTAAGAAACAAGGTGTCCACGAATTAGGCAACCGGAAGTTGGAGAGACCCCCTGTTCTAGAACGTTGACAACCTTCATCATTTCATTCCATTAAGCCGATTACAAAATGTCATTTTTTTTCCCCTCAGGTGAATATTGTGGTCTTCACTTTAGTTATTTCTAGCATGCTTTCAAGCCATCGGCTCAGAAAAGAACCGCTGACAAGAAGATTCCAACGTGGGCTCAAGGCCTCATTTGTCCTTCTCCCTGTTCTTGGATTGTCGTGGTCTTTTGGCGTTTTAACCATGGCCACCAATGAAATTGTATTCAGTTACATCTTTGCTGTCTTAAACTCGCTACAAGGATTTCTTATTTTTATTTTCCACTGTGTTTTAAACAAGCAGGTACGTTTTGGGTGACGTTACCTCGTGCACTATGACTCACCAATATTCAGACTGCCACGGCCACACTGGTTTTTTTTTTTAATAATTCCTTCTGAATAGTGAATGGAATCTAGGAAATGTCTTGCCGAGCAGTTCTATTAAATGGCAAGTGCCTATGAATTATCCAAAATTGAATTGATGTAACTTTAGATGCCAGATTATCTTACGAACCAGTAATTGCCAGCTGAGGCTTCTACCAATCAAAAAAGCTCTGTGGTCTGAGATTCAGATTGACTCAGACTGATCCGACTGAGTGACTGTGTGGCGGAGAAAAGTGGCCCTAGAATGTCTGACTTTAAATGTTCGGGCCAGAAAAAACTGCAATCACCAATGATGATGCTTTAGTGCGTTCACAAAAAGGGGAAAAACTCTGTGAATTGATTACCACAAATAGTTATAACTACTGATTTAAAATCTCAATTTAGCTTAGAGAAGTGTTGACGGAGAGAAGGAGGAAACGAGCAGGTCGAGTGACAGACGCCATGACAGCACAGTCGAACAGAAAACTCAGCACAACAACAGGAGGTAAACATCTGAGAGTAGAGGGATTCTTACCAAAATGTTGTGCAAGTATGCTCTGCCTCGAGTCACAAACCTTCACTCTTTTATTTGCAAAATTTTAGCCGAAATGGTACCCATAGACCTTTTACTTTAAGATGGCATCTCTTTTGTGCGTGGCACCCCTCAGGAACCATCATAAGAGCTCGGACGACCCCCTCCCCCTTCGCTATTAAATGGAACGGAAAACTTTTCAGTCGAGGTATATTGAAACGGGAAAACTGACTGCAGGGTTCTCGTAACATATTTTTAAATATGATAAATTATCAAACCTGTTGTCTGGTGTTATCATAACTTGCCTCCTGACCTCTCTAAAAATGGTATTTCCCTTTGCGAACTCATGTTATTCGATACGAGGATTCTGAGAAAGCTGGTTGTCTTATCGAAACGTGACTTGATAGGAAGACGATCTTCTCGTCTGCTTTGACCGAAATAAATTCTCTTTCACACGAGGACCGCAACACGAGACCTTGAAGTATGAAGTTCATTTACTTGTTGGAAGGATTAGGGATACATGTTTTTCTTCTTTGCACGTTTAGCCCCCAACAGTCAACTCGGTTCAGCCACTCCTCTCAGACTTCTAAATCTTCATCAGTATAGCCCAGAAATCTCACTTTCGCGCCAGCCCTCTCCGCCCTCGTGTGCCGCGCGTGCCTTTGGGAAAACGTCCCTGGTGTCAACAAGCCTTGATGCAACTCGAGTGGATCAAAACAACTTGCTACAGACCGGCAAAGGAAAAGAAGAAAAAAACACGAACAGTCAAGGTAATAGTTCATGAAAAAAATTGTTATTAGAAGGTAAAATTATGCGACTTTTGCAGCATCGAAGTTTAGTTTAGGAAGTAAAACTTGAGTCTGCCATCAAGGGACAAACTCGTACTAGATGCAGTCTCTGGTCGGATGAAACATTAAAAAATATACTAAACTAATATCGAGATTCTTCGGAACGGCTCTAAACGTAAACTAATCTCTAGATCCTTCAGAACGTTCTCTTAAACACTCCACAACTGAGCTTATAACTGTGCAATTACTACTAATTGCGGACGAGAATATTCGACAAAAAGTGTCGCCAGGCTGCATAAGTTATGCGACAACAACGAAACTTATTACGCAACTGTCTTTGTTACACAAGTTCTTTAACACCTTCCGCACAGCGTTTGTAATCAAAGTCTTTTCAACAGTCTCAATGACTCGAAATGAAATTGAGGCTCACTAGGTATTATGGGAAGGGCACCCTTCCTTTGGTTCTTGCTCTCCTTGATGCGATCGATTCCAGTCTTCTTTTACTCTTTTAATACGCGAATCGCGACTGGGTGAGAGATGATCCAAACACGTGACAGGAACGAGCTCGCACCTATTCTTTTGTGGGTGAGCATTATTCAGAATGCAAGCAAGTTTTCGGTTAAAAATGCCCTGGGCAACTAAGTTTTGTAGACCAATCACGAGAATGGACAGGAAGACTTGTGATGCAAAACTTGTGATGCGAAACTAGTGATGCAAAACTTTCCAGTGCGTGGAAATTTGACTCCTTTTATCATCCTAAGATTTTCTGTCATTTGTTTAGTTTTTTTCTTTTTCATCATCATCAAGAGACCTCTGAGCAAGTAACTTATCTGGGAAAGACGGACGAATCTTTCAAACCTTGTGATATTTATGAGAGAGACTGGACCAGCCTGGAGTCATCCTCTGAATCCATAATCGATTTCAACGCAGGCGTGGAGCTTGAGGTAAGTTGAGAACTGAAGATGGAAAAGAAAACACTCCTTTAAATTCTTGCGAGTAGCAAATGTGTTGTGAGAATTCTCCATCTTAATTCAGATAAATGTTCGCTTAAAAACTTAGACAAAACGAAAAAGTGAAGTGTACGCATTCTAAAACGATCTCATGGCTGTCTCCACAAAAGAAGTAGAAACGTAAAAGTTGTTATAAATTGTAACTTGTTTTATCCTAGTCAGTAAAAAGGTACTTCAAGTCAAGTTCATTCAGAATAAACAGTTATAACAGTATTTTTTTTATTAACAGATTCTTCATTACTTTTCTTATTAGGTAAACAGGTAAACTGCAGAGTGTCCCAAGAAAATGTTACTTCGCAGCAGTTGTGAATCTGGTCTATAGAGACTTCAGACTGTACGTACGCGTGTCATTTTCCACCAACGTGAGGTCTGTTTCGCTGCACTTTCGCTATCATAATAGGAGAACTGGTCGGGCTTTTTTCAGCCATGTCACTGCATTCACCAATGTGAGAAATAGAGGAAGGTTATGCGTGGCTGAGAGAACGATGGAAGTGATTCCGGAAGAAGTACTCAGGTAGCGAGAAAATATCCGGTACTGAAACGTGCTCTCCGTTTCTTCAGTTGGGAAATTCTTAAACGATTTACAAAACTTTCGAGCGTTTTCATAGAGTCAAAATTTGATAAAGTTTGTAAATTTGGTTCACTTGTCGAGTTTGTCTCGATAAGTATTGGAGGAAGAAAAAACAATACAGTGCTTCCGCTCCAGCATGCTAGAGAAAGTTTGGCCATGATAAAGCCACGTTTTGAAATAAATGAAACACGAGTTAGTTACGCAATCTTAATTCTTTTTCGTTTTCAAAGCAATTTGAATCACAGATGAGATAGGTTTTTTTTTCTCTCTGAACAGAACGACCGTAAATAGAATGTTATTTTTAGCATTTCTTTGGATGTCAAAGGAAAAGGTGAAAATATTGCGCTGAAACCCTTTTTAGATCATTGATGGTAAAGATCATTTATTTGACTCGTCACAAAATCATTTCAATATTCATTTCTCTCGATTCAGCAAGATACATTTACACTGTAACAATAGAAACTTGATTAGTTCGTATCATTTTTCGTTTTCAGAACGTGTCTTCTGCTATCCAGACCATTTGTCACAACTTGATTACGCGTGATTTTGCACGTGAAATTACAAGCGATATTACACGTGATTGCAACAACGATCTGTGCTAATGATTTTAGGGCTGACTTGCCAAGAATAGCAACAGATCAAAGCTAACATCTCAGTTTCCGTCTTACAAGCAAAACTAAATCCTTTTTCTGTCTAGCTCTGATTAAACAGTTCTAAAACAGGAAGCTCATGTCACCAGCTAACTCGAAATTATATATAGAACAATCTTACTTCCATAGGGGCTGTGTAAACATTATGTTTTGGTATGTCAGCTTTTTCTTTGGTACAAAATTTAATCATCTTCCAGGATGATTTCAAACGATGCGTACCCTTAGTTAGGAGTTACGTAACTTTTTGTTACTCTGTTATCAACCAAAGAAACTTAACATTGATCCCTCACCAAATTCGATCCCTTGCACCGTCAATTAAAGCAGTATTTCATTCCAATTGATAACATCTTGCTTGTTATTAGTTATTAGTAATTCTTTCTTTTTGTTATCGCTTACTTATCCATCTTTTTATCTATTTCTCTATTGCTTTGGAACTGCTCCAATTGTCATTGTAACTGAGATTCTCTGAAGCGAGGCGCCGCAACGTAGTTTCGAAGCAAATATCGCCTTATCGGGTTTTTTAAATGTTCCTTTTCACTCAGTTTTCTCGAAAGCCAGATTCGGACCGTAATAACAGACTTGATATTAGAAAAATAAGATCAGTTCAACGCTTCTGTCGTAATTGGTGTAATAGTGTCTATTACACGCCGTCATCGATTGTAAATAAAACCTGATAGCATTTGCTTTTTACCCGAAATGCTAAGTCACTAAATTCCGTGAACAGTTCGTTTTATCAGGAATAATAGATGAAGTCAACCTAAGCTATCAAGGAAGTCGCAACATATCTGTCATTCTTGTTGACAAAAACGCTTTTATTATCAATTATTGATGATTCTCCGATGTATGCTTTTGAAGTGGATATTAATGAAAAAACAACTTTTATAAGCTAAAACAATAAGTCTCCTTTGCAACTTTATTTATTTTCTTAAGTTTTAATTCCTCGTTTACTCCGTGCATTCAATTTGTATAGTAACCCTCTCTTTTGATCCACACAGAAATTACTGATTCATTGGTGAATACTGAATAAGTAATATGGTTGATCGGTCTCCTGCTGAAATCTTAAGAAACCAAAATATGTCAAGAGCTCACTCTTAAGAAATTAAAATTAAAGAGATTAAACACTTAACAGACCTCAATCAATATCATGAATGTTAGAACAATTCTTAACAAGTACGTGCACGTTGTCTTGCAGTCTTTCATGGTCTGTCAGAGAAGGTCAAAGAAGACAGGATATTACATTTATAGACCTACTTGTACGTGACATTAGGGAAGAAATTATGATATATAATTTTCATTACGTGTAACAGTAAAACTTACCAGTGATTAAGCAGTAGTTTATCGCGAGTTCTAAAGTTCTCAAAATTAGCTGAGTAATTCTCTTGAAATTACTTAAGAAGCGGAACTTTCGTGTAGGATTTCTTTTCCCGTCTCTCTAACTTAAGTGAAGTTATTTTTCGAAGGAGGTTCGAAGCAATTCATACAATTTCATTTCTAATTTTCAATCGGTGTTTTTGGCATTATAACTAAATATGATTAACCTGCCCTGTACTAAATTCGTTCATTCCACAAGTGTTCTGTGACCGAACGCTTGAGCTTGATTTCGTTGAGGCTGACCTTAGTTTTCTCGTATCAGTTTTCCGGAAGCCGCGGCAGCGAATCAAGTCTTTGTAAGAGAAACGAAACTGCTTGCTGCAAAAGCAGTAAAGGATAGGATTGACGGCAGCCTGTCCAAAAATCATCATTTGACTCAACCGCCACACGGCATCACCGTTATACACATAAAAGTACCTTAGAGTGCGTATGACCATAAATGGCCCATAGCAAATGAAAAAGACAAGGGTTACTATGGCCAGCATTTTAGTGACTTTCTTCTGTTGAAGTCCATCTCCGGATTTCGCTCTAAGACTGATTCTTGTCCTCGCGTGGTTCGAGAGATGCAGAAAAATCTTGACATGCGCCCAGATCATAGTCCCCAGAGGCAACAGAAAGAGCAGCACAGCTTGGATCGCGTAGTAAATTTGTCTTCCATCATCCCCCATGTTTTCATTGAGGCATAATGACAGGCCACTGTTTTCGTCTCTTTTCACGTAGTAAGCGTACAGCAAAGGGGTACAGGATGCAATTCCAACCACCCAAATAATCTTGAGGATTATTGAACGGTTATCAGTCGGCTGCGCACGCGCCAGAACGGGGGAAGAAACAGCTTTCAGACGCTCGTAACTGATTGCTACTAAGGTCAAAATAGACACTGTGTAACAGGACTCGATGAGGAAACTCTGAATCTTGCACACGGGATCTCCACCAAACCAGTCACCCTGACCAATGAAAGCGATCAAGTCAAAAATGGATAACAACGTAAACATTAAGTCGGCCCCAGCTAAACTTGCGATGAAGCAAAATAACACAGAGGTCGTGACTTTGTAAGTCTTGTAGCATGTTATGAGCGCAAATATGTTTCCTACAAACGCCAGCGTAAAGATTGTTGCGTACAGGCAGTAAAATATGTTCATCATTAAAGGGGACATCTTTTCGATTTCTTCAACTGTCGTTGAGTTGTCTTCATTGGCGAGGGTTACATTTAAAGAATTCATTTTGCAGTCCTTTCTTCACTGAACAGCGCAGAACTATATGTGGTGTCACGCTTGAGAGGGAATCTTTTATAAGGAAATAGCTGCTTACTTACGTATGTTGATTGACATGGCTCACAGGGTGTGTCAATGAACTTCCTGTCACGATAGATAGATATTCTGTCAGTTATTCTCTTCGCGTCTATCGCCAATAACAATAGATCACCGATACCAAATACAAGGTTACCTTTGAACTTTTCACTCAAAGAGGAATTTAGTTACAACTCTGTTTACCGCTCTCGTGATCACGTAAAGGTGTCCGTCTCAACTCAGAGATAGCATCCTGTTTTAGCGCTTTTCAAGTTGTTCTTTACTTCCGCTCAAACAGTGTTAGCAAACAGGGTAATGCCACAGCAGACTCACAGCTCCTACATCTTTCGATTTCAACGTGACATATAAATTATTCCAGATCCAGTCCATGATTTCGGTATTGACGTAATAGGACGACCCTCCCTCCCTCCCCCTCCCCCACTCTACCTTTGTGCTGTGTCTCGTTTTTGTCAAATTTTAGATTCACCGGGCGTTTCAGCCGGACGTAAGTTTCTAAAGAAACTGTGATGCTGATTTGGCGGGGGTAACAAGGAAATTTGGTTTTATCAACTAACTTGAAATTGGAAATTGGCCACCGTAAAGAGCTAAATAGCTGAAGTGTCGAGCGTTAGCCCTTCGTCAGAGCGAATGGGGAAATTGTGGGTTGTGTGTGTGTGTTTATATGCAGAAAGTAGAGCTCCGCTATTGATGGGAACATTCCGCAGCTTTGTGAATGAAAGGGCAAGTCTTGCATCGCGCGCGAGTGCATTTAAAAGTTTCGGGTTGGTCATTAGTTTTAAATTAACTTCTGACCAAAAAGCTGCCTACGTTTTTGTCACGTTTGAATAAAATAAGTGGGGGTTGCGAAAAGATAGTGCCAGTCTCTGGATCGTTTTGAAGCAATTTAAAGTTTTCAAGAATAATGTACACACAGTCAGTGACACACTGAAAATTTCCTGCTGTAATTGAATGTCACGGTGACATTCAGTTTTATAACATAGCTAGCAGAGCCGCGCAATCAAATTCAACTACGTAAGCGTGCTCAAAATCCCGATAGTGCACGCTGATAGCGTGAGCAAATCGCTTCGCCAGAAGCGATTTGCATAATATATTTCGCGACAATACTGGATGCAAACAGAGACTCGGCCCACCAGTCCCAAAACGAAGACAATTTTCCGACCTTTTCCATTGGGCTAGAGTTCTTAAATGAGGCAGAGAACGAGAAAAACAAGACTGCATCAGTGCCGTCGCTTCACTTGTCAGAGGGTGAAATGCAACAAATTTTGACAGAAAGACACTCTGGTAAAACCAAACAAATAACAAACTGGTCTGTTTCAACCTTCAAAGATAAGCTTAAATTTTTCCGCTTTAAAATTGTTAACTATATCTTTACGGTTGCCCTCGGAAATTGTAAAACTTACGGAAAAATTGTCTGCAAAATTATTAACACATTTAATTACATATATACATCAAATTACAGATGTAGCGATAACAGTCTTTCTGTCTGGTTTTCCTTCACGAAAATAACTTTTAAATGGTTTCTTTTTAAACTCAAAGAAAACTTGTTTTTATTTTAGCTTGGTGTAACGAGAAACAAATACAAACTCCGATGGAAAACATGACGTTAGGACAACTGGACAAAAACAAATATTTCGCCTATCGCGAACAATCACTTCTGATATTGTTGTCCGTTTTTCGCGTCGGATATGATACACAATTCCACCGGCTATGTTATAAAACAATTGGTTCATGCTTTTAGCTGTGCACTATCATCGAGTTGTGGAGCACGTGGGAAGTTTAGAGAGCACCCAAGAGGCTAGAGTTGCCATCGGCTATTGCCTCGGGCAACTCTTACGCTTCTTTCGTGCTCTCCAAACTTCCCACGCGCTCCATAACTCGATAGTGCACGCTAAAGCATGAACCAATTGTTAAATAGCGGGAAATTTTCTTGGTTTGAATTGTTGCTGATTTTGCCGATTTTTCCGGATACTCAAAGACAAGTTTCTGCGGATAGAAATATCCTGCAAGATATACCCTCTACAAAATTTACCTCCTTAGTACAAATCATACTGATAGTGACAACGATGGAAATAACAAAATATGAAAAATAAAAAATCTACGAGATAAAAAATCTGAGGGGCGTAGGTGATCTAATTGTTGTGTTATTCCTTGTGGGAAGCCAAGTTCATGACATCCTCTGAATCTCTCCGATAACAGGAAGTGTGTTGAAACTCGAAAGTAATTAACAATAGTTGAGAATACCACGCTTCCTTCTTTGTTCTTGTCTGGTGCTTGTAAAGAAAGTCAGCGACGACAGATTTTAACATGACACAGCTCGTTTAAGCACCAAATGGGAACGCAGTAGGATGAAGTAACCTTTTAAACCCTCAAAGTGATCGACAACTAATTTCTCCTTACAGCAATACAGCTGAATCATTCACTGAGATCATGAGAATAAAAGGAAATGATCACCAACCTGAAAAGCTTTGATTGGTAAACGAATTCCCCTTGTCATTACGGAAGGAAATGTATAAAGACGAGAAAAGAGAATATGCGCGCTAGGGTGTTAAGTGTTAAGCAAAATATTTATGAAGGACACTAAAATATTTGGAAGGTTTCGGCACTTTTATGAGGGTCTCAATGCGATTAACCGATAGGCGTAAAATGGCCAAAAATTTAGTCGATAGCCGTAAAAATTGAAAAATTTTAACCGTTAGCCGTAAATGGGGTCAAAAGAGGTAACCGTAAAAAAAAATTGTTCCCTAAATTTCTTAATTTTAAGAAAGGTGCTAAACTTACTTATGACCTGTTTCATTTCTTATTTTGCTGACTTTGACTCCGTACATGTCGTACATGTGGTTCATACGTTTATAGGCCAAGCTCGTTTCAAGGACCCCCGGTAGTCTCCCTTGACCTCACTTGGCCTGCGTTTTGTAGGACAAGTTGACAGCTTTTTGTTTTAAGATCTCCAATTTCTTCACCCAGTGTGCATGTGAGTTGAACGATGTCGGTATTGAAAGCTGTTGTTAGTTTTTATCGAACGGGTGAGGAAAGGCCAAGCGAAAGATACAAGGCAAGACTCAAAGTCCAAGAAGAGCATCGGACACTTTCAGCGTTCAAGAAAAACGTTATTGACTTTCTTGGTCTTAACGAGCAAGCCAGGAAGTTCGGTCTTGGGCAATTTGACCTTAAACTTTACCGCCTCGCCAAAATCAGCGGCAAGATAGAAAATTATTCTTTATCGACCCAGCAGCAGCTAGATCTGGAACTACCCCTGTTGCTTGACTCAGATAGTGAAAGCGAGCTGAACAGTAAGTACTCTTAAAGTTATGAATTTTGTACGTGACTACTAGGATGCCGCGTGGCAAGAAATTTTTGCGGGTCTTTTATCTTGCGGATTGCAGAAACTAAATTAGCTCCCCACATGTTTGGGGAGCTAATTGTTTAATGTAACGGTGGCCTTTATTGTTTTAGCATGGAAACCGGCGAGGTCATGACTATTCTTGAGAACATGACAAACAGTTGCAAGAAGATCAAGAAAGTAGCAAAATTTAATGACACACTAGCCTTCACAGACATTGAGGCTCGTCAAGTCAAGCGTTACAATCCGTTGACCAAAAAAGTTGATACTCTTGCCGGAGATGGACGTGAAGGAGAACAGGAGGGAACTGAGAAAAGTTGCAGCTTTGTCCAAGTGCATGGAATATGTAGTGTTGCAGATAGGCTTTTCATAACGGATGCGGCAGCAGGGAAAATCAAGCTGATTACTGGTTTGTCGGGGACAACGAACTTTTTAAGTCAACTGGGCATTTTATATGACAGCTTGGCATAGGTTGTAAAGGTAGTACTTCTCAGACAATTACGCCAGAGGAGGTAAGTAAGAATGTTGAGAAGGTAAACGACTTCATCAAATCTACGGTAAGAAATGTAAAAGAAACAAATCTCCTCAAAGAAGGTTCACCAACGAATGGTCCTCAGGGAACTGTGTCTAAAAAGACGCAAGATTCTGTCGAGCTCTTGTTGAATGGTGTAAACAACCTCATAAGAAATATCACAAATGTCAGCCCAGAGTACAAAGATAGCATTGACTGGCAAACTTTACTAACAACTCAAGTAGAGAACCTACATGCGGTATCGCATTTTAAACATGAGACATTTAGCACCCTTCAATATGCGATAGACTTTGGTACGATATGGAAGGACTCTTTAAAGCGAATAACTAAATGGGGGGCTAAATACTATACTCATCCATCTTCCTACTACACAGTGCCCCAAACGGGAATGTTATTCAAGGACGTGCAGTTTATGACTCCACTTCTTTCTGTGGGGCTATCGAAAAAGGATGAAGAATTAATGAAGGAATGGTTGGAGAATTACCGTCCAGTGAGGCAAAGAACTGTGACGAGTGAAACGACGAAAGACAAGGCAGGAGCCTTGCCCCCGGCAGCGTACGCCAAGCCAAAGCCGGATGTTACTCCAAAGGTACGATTTCCCGATGACCAAGACGACAGAACCCTCCCTGCCTCCTCTGAGGTCAACCCTCTAGTCTCCGATCTGTCATTAAGTTTCATAAGCGATTCCAACATTCCGCAAGTGAAGCTCGCGTCTGTTGCTGATTTCAACCAGGTGGAGGAGTACGAAAGCGATTCTGGAATTAGCGATGTTGATACGGATAGTGACTCAGAGGATCTTAGCATCAGTAAGCCAGTAGTAACAAGGTCCGGAAGGCAAGTCAAGGTGTGGACACGGTTTGATGTCTGGGCAAAAAAAGGTACCCGAGACAAGCTATACTGCACATTGAAGGATTTTGAGGCGTCAAGCATGGCTATATTTTGAGACAATTTTACAGGCATATAACACCATATAAGGACAAACAGGTCACCACTCCTACAAGTAAATGTAAGAATGCGTGACGTAAGTTAAGTTGTGTATGGCCTTGTATTGAATCCTTTTTCGTAGTTCACAATTCTATGCGTAAAATAATATTAGAAGTGGTATGATTTATCAGATATTAAATTTTTTCAAAAGAATAACTCATTTAAGCCTGAGCTGACCATAACACCTTTATCTTGCTTTAAAGATTAAAAAAACACAGGTTTATTAATATTTAACCTTTTGGAACCAAAGAAATTAATTTTTAACTTTTTTGTTAACCATAACTGTAAAAAATTAACCGATAGCCGTAAAAGAGCCACAATTTTAGCCGATAACCGTAAAAGCCAGCACCCCATTGAGACCTCTTTTATGCCAATCACATCCAACTGATATTGACAAATTGAAAAACTAGCTGAACGCAAGAAGTATTTGCATTATTTCTACGATAAAAGGGGCAAACAACTTAGTCTAGTAACGAGAATGCCCATCTTCCAAACGAGTACAAGTCGACTGGACGCTTAAAGAGTCTTCTCGGAAGGCCTCCCTCTCACCCCCACCCCCTCCCTCCCTGGGACCCTGTTAATAAGTAGATTTGGCGCGAAACAAGAGCCGGTCCCCAGTCCCCAGCAGTCCAGCTGGGTTCCTGACCAACATGGCCGATCAACAAACACCGGATACTTCCAGCAGCACAGGGACTTCTTCAAGCTCACAGAGCCAGAGTGTTCATTCATCGGCGAGTATGGACTCGGCAGGAACAGCTGCTACACTTCCAACCCAGGATGTTGTTGATGGAATGTCAGATGAAGAAGAACTAAAGGTGTCAAGTTGGGGAAGACTGTTCCCGCTTGGCATCGGTTTTGAAAAGATTGGTAAGCGTCTGATAGAGCAGACAGACATGGAAATCTAATACGTTCTTACCTCGGAAGATAGTAGTTGTAGTTCTGTATTCTATTTGCTGTGTGTATTGTTCTAACCTGAGGGCGATTTGAGTAAAGTTTGCCTGTTTGAAAATATAATCTTGCACGTGGATGATCATGACCACGACAGAAAAAAAGACAGGATTCTCGAGGTAGTTTCTCGTAATTTATGGGGTCACTAGAATATTTTGGTAATATAACTACTGGTTATATCAGTTGCGGGAACAGAGAACAATTGAAAAGTGAAACCCATCGAATTTTACAATGGGTGTTAGCTATATTGGCTCAAAACAATCGACGTGGTGGTTGGTAGTGGTTTGGGTTCTGACCCTATAAGTCGCCTTTTTCAACGCCACCCAAGGGACTTACCTTAACATCTTTTCATTGAAAAGTTGAATAAAAAGAAAATTTCTCATGGTTTAAAACTAAAATCTTTGAGGGAGTTCCTTAATCAAACCAGTCTGGCAAAGCTCGATGAGATTTCATGCATGCAGAACCAGTTTAAGTGGCATGAAAGCCTGGGACTCTGCCACACAGGGTTGTAAAATTGTCTTGCAATTGACCCTTGTGGCTGGAACCTATACCAGTGTCCTCAGGATGAATATTGCTCCTTTCCCTCCCTCCCTCCCCTTCCTCCTTTGTATGAGATGCTAATCAATTACTGCTTGCATCCAGCATTTTGTCAGCTTTCTGTGGCAGTTTGCTGGTACCTGTTTGTAGCTCTGGGTAGAGTGAGGCAGTGCAAGGGTATGGCTGGGAAGGGAGGATCCTGGGGTGCCTGTGACCCCTCCCTTTATAAGCTATTTTCTGTGCAAACAACCCCCAATATTCAGGTGGTGAACACTGGTGAGTACCCTTTGTTTGACACAGTGTTACTCCCCCCCCTCTGAAAAATCCTGGCTACAACCCTGCACTGTGAGAGTGAAATGTCCTTCTTATAGCCAGAGCCTGAAACTAGAGCCTTGCATCTGGAATCCAGTACACTATTGATTACAATTTATTTACTAATGCTAACATTTATAAAAATGGGATATTTGTTTATTTTTTCTATTGCTCTCCAGATCTTGAAAAAGATGTGAATACATTTGGCCGTGGCACCAACAATGATATCTGCTTTGAACCCAGAGCATTTAAGAAGAATCCACAATATCAGGCAATTAGTACAAAACATTTTAAATTATACAGGGTAGGTATGTGCATGGCACTATTTTTATTAAAAGTTGTATTCATGGCAATTAAGATACCTTAATTTTATTTGAAATTGGTACAAAGAAGTATGTATACATTGTATCTCAGTACTTCCTCTCTTTTCTGTATCTTAGGAGTTTGATGGAAATGGAACATTTAATGTGTTTCTTACTGATCTTAGGTAGGTCATGCAGGTACTAAAAGTTCTCGCCAAATAGCTTTAGTATATTGGATACAATAACACCTAACACTTAGATTTTTAGCACAAAGTGGAGACACTGTACAAGGTTACTCTAAAAATCATGATCTTAATTTTATTAACAGTACTGTATTTCATCAACTGAAATCTCTCTGAATAAAAAAAATCTTTCATTTTTCTGCTTAATAATTTTTCAGTTCAAATGGAACTTTCATTAATGGGCAAAAGATTGGTAAAGTATCTTTCTTTTATTTGTTAATTTCTTCTTTTTTATATATATATCCTAGACAACAAGCAACTTAAGATTTAATTGTTTTGCACTTGCCATTTCATTTGCCCAATTTGAAGAGATTGAAGTCTATTTTTTCAGTTCTTCCCTCTGGTCAGCGCACACTGTGTGGCTGACCATGCTGTCATCAGCCGCACTGTAATACCTAACTGTCAAACTGTTGGGGAAACGGGAAAATTTGATAAAGGATTCCACTCTATACTGCTCTCTACTTGTGTCCCATCTGCTCTCATGGAATGCATGCTGATAAAATCAGGATATTAATTTCAACAGTTACAATGCCATGCAGACCTTTGACCTACCTTGTAATAATTTAGATTGCTTCATTCAACCATCTTGTATTTTGAGCTGTTATTAATTTTTTTATGAAGAGTGAAGGTTAAAGGCTGGTGTGAATGATTTTGATAATGTGGTTATTTAAATTCTAATGATGGTCTAAATTTACTTAATAAGTTTTTTTTTTTTTCAATTTATACTTTAGGAAAAAACAATACACATCCATTGAATAACAACGATGAGATATCATTATCTCTAAAGAAACACAAAGGTATGAATAAAATATCTCAAATGTGACACAAAGAAAAAGTCAGAAGAAGTTAACTTATCATAATTCATAAATTCAGTAGATATTTTTAGCAATGTGCAATATTCTCCCTCTCTCTGTTAAGGTCTTTACCATTTTTTAGTCCTCCCTCCATTGATTTCTCCTCTATGATTAGCCGTCACTTGCTAAAAGTCCCCCTCTGTGAATTTCCCTTCCTTAACAAGTCCCCTTTTCTCAATTTCCTATCTTTCATTCAGTTCCCCTTTCTAATTACCCCTCCCTCTTTATATTAGTGAGTCCTCTGCTTATGAAGTCCCCCTCTCCAACAAGCTCTTAATTACCGTCCATCTAGAATTTAAAGCAACTCAGCTGACCTTAGGCCATAGTCTCTTGAAAGATTTGTTTTTAATTTCCTTTTCCCCTTTACAGCTTATGTATTTCAGAACATAAATCAAGCTGACAAGGAATTTAGTTCACTACCAGAGGTAAAGCTGAAGTAGTTCATACAGAGATCAAGTACTTTTTAAACCAACAGAAACCTTTTTAATGTTTTGAACATCAGAATCATAACATTGTTTGTTTTCTCCAGGATTTAAAGGAGAAGTATGTTATGTCTAGAGTCCTTGGAAGGTCAGTGTAGGCTGGGTAAAGCCTGTTCCAATGAATGAAAATAACGAATTTCCTCACCTCTTTGAATACTACGTTTAACATATAAAGACCTTTGTATGTCATGTTTTCCTTATGAGAATAAACAATCGCATCTTATGTCAATATGCATTTAT